CACCAACTACTACTACCCACACCAACTACCATCAATACTATCACCACCACTAACCAACCACCACTACCACCACCACCATACCACCACTGACCCTCACCACTACGACTACCACCACCAACTTACCACCATCACACTACACGCATGACTACCACCACCACTATCCCCAACTTACCGTTACCACCTTCACACTACCAACATCACCACTACCACTTCCACACCACGTCCACCATCACACTACACCTTCCACCACCACTACCACACCATCACCACTACCCATACCACACCGCCACATCCCTGGGTCAGAGATGGTGTCCAGAATGCTATTCACTAAACAAGTTACAGTACTACTGAAACTATATACTAGGCTAGTGAAATGGGTTACAGTAATAATAAGTTTCACAACTGATGAACGCGGGTCACTGTTCATTACAGTGTAGGTCACCTCAGTATTTCTCAGTATCATGGAATCCCAGTAGTTTACAAAAAAACGGTGAAATTGTTCCATTAAAATTGCATATTTGGGTCCCTCTGTTTCAGGGACCTCGGCACATGGGAAGGAGCGCAATTCATGTTCCTGAAGATGCTAGGCAAAAGACTCATAGGGGCAACTAGAACAAAGAGCTGCTAGTTTCTGTTCCCACAGCGTCTCGGTGTTGCAGTTAGAGGGGTTAATGCCCGTTGCATCCTGTCGGTACCTATGTATGCGCCCCAGCTCTCAAGAGCTGCATAAAACACAATAATTGTAATGTGTTTCTTTATTATATATATATTATATATATATATTTATATATATATATATATATATATATATATTATATATATATTTATATTATATATATATATTATATTATATATATATTTATATATATATATATATATTATATATATTATTATTTATATAATATTATATATATATTATATATATATAAATATATATATATATATATATATATATTATTATTATATTATATATATATATATATATATATAATATTATAAACTATAGTCAAGGGTGGTGAGGCCAGTACAGTGGCCATGAACGTGTCTGTCAACATGTTAGGGTGTACAAGTTGTTCCCGAGCCATACATCAATCCCACCTGCAGGTTATATACAATCGAGTAGAATGTGTATTTCGCCGTGTTTGTATACACGATTCGTGAGTGTGTGTGTTGTGTCCTCCGTGTATGCACCGAAAGCTGTGTTGGATACACCGAGAAGGTGTTTGGGTGTTGTACTCTCCTGTTTGTGGTTTCAACCCAGTGTCGGAACAGCTCATGAACAGCCTCTTCGTGGTCGCTATAGATCCACTCTGCTCCCTAGCTCCATGAGCTTTATCATACCTCTTCTTACTAAACTATGTATGGATACATTACAGCACTCTCCTCAGACAGTTCTTGTTCCCTTACCAAATCTAAGCTGAGGAAATGACTTCCTGACATCCCATGTGACTTCATTTGAGCTTTCTCAACTTCCAGTTGTGTCCCATTGTTGCTTTATCCTATTCTGAAACATTTCTGTCCAACTATTCAACCTTCGTCAATTCCTCTAAGTATTTTATATGTCTTTATTATGTCTCCTATCCCTCCTGTCCTCCAGGGTTGTAAGTTGTGATTTCCCTGAACCTTCCTCCTCGTAGGGACATAGCCCCTTCAGCTCGGACTGGTCTTTGTTGTAGCCTTTCACTTTCTCTAATTTCCATGTACGTGCTTAAACCAGTTGGGGTTCCATTTCTGGTGACCTGCATACTTAATTGGGGCATGAAATACATGGTGTGTCAGAATATAGTTACGGAGAACTTACTTTAATCACGGTTTATAGGTATTATTTTTGACTTGTGGTGCATCACGGTGACAATCAGCCTCATGACCCTCGTTGTAGACTGACAGACTTTAATTATACTTAACCACACCATCCACGCCCCACATACCAACTCATCCAACTCTCGCCATACTAAGCAACTCAATGTTAACCAACACAATATTAACCAACAAACTCATACAAGCAACACAAGGTTAACCATCACAACTCACACAAGTAAAACAAATTATTAACCAACTCACGCATTTACAAGCAAACATTATTAACCAACACAACTCAAACATGTAACACAATATTAACAACACACGCATACATGCAACACAATATTAAACCAACAAACTCACACGAAGTAACACAATATTAACCAACACTCGCACAGCAACACATATTAACAACACACTCACACAAGAACAAATATTAACCAACAAACTCACCACAAGTAACACAAATTAAACCAACACTCACACAATAGCAACACAATATTAATACCAACACTCACACATGCACACACAATATTAACCAACAAACTCACACAGTAACACAATATTAACAACACTCGACAAGCAACACAATATTACCAACACACTACACAAGCAACACATTATTAACAACCACTCACACAAGCACACAATATTAACAACACTCACACAAGCAACACATATTAACCAACACTCACACAAGGCAAAAAATATTACCAACACTCCACATGCTTACACAATATTAACCATACCCTCACACAAGCAACACTAGATTAACCTAACACTCACACAAGCAAAACTATTAACAAACACTCACACAAGCAACACAATATTAACCAACACTCACCACAAGCAACACAGTATTAACAACACTCACCTCAAGCAACACAATATTTACCAAACTCACACAGCAACACAGTATTAACCAACACTCACACAAAAACAAAATATTAAACAACACTTCACACAAGCTAACACTATATTAAACAACACTCACACAAGCAACAGTATTAACCAACCACTCACACAAGCAACACAGTATATCCACACTCACACAAGCAACACAGTATTAACCAACACTCACACAAGAACACATTATTAACCAACACTCACACAAGCAACACATATTAACCCAACACTCACACAAAGCAAACACAATATTAAACCAACACTCACACAAGACAAGTATTAACCAACCACTCCATAAACAATGGCCACATTCTTCCAGAGCGAAAAAACTTGGAGGATGTTAGTGTAAGAGCAGGAACTGTGTCTTAAGGTATTATCTGATGCCTCCGTACACCTGGACAGCTTAAGCTGTAAGTCTGTACGCTGTATAGTTGACGCTGTAATGTCGAAGCTGTAAGTCTGACGCTGTAAGTCTGACGCTGTAAGTCTGACGTTGTAAGTCTGTCGTTGTAACCTTGACGCTGTAAGTCAGACGTTGTAACCTTGACGCTGATAAGTAGGCGTTGTAACCTTGCGCTGTTAAGTCTGACGTTGTAACCTTGACGCTGTAAGTCTGACGTTGTTAACCTTTGAACGCTTCTAAGGTTGACGTCTGTAACCTTGACGCTGTAAGTCTGACGTTGTAACCTTGCCGCTGTAAGTACTGACGCTGTAAGTCTGACGTTGTAACCTTGACGCTGTAAGTCTGACGTTGTAACCTTGACGCTGTAAGTCTGACGTTGTAACCTTGGACGCTGTAAGTCGGACGTTGTAACCTTGACGCTGTTAAGTCTGACGTAGTAAACCTTGACGCTGTAAGTCTGACGCTGTAAGTCTGACGTTGTAACCTTGACGCTGTTAAGTTGACGTTTGTAACCTTGGACGCTGTAAGTCTTGAGTTGTATACAATTGACGCTGTAAGTCTGACGCTGTAAGTTGACGTTTGTAACCTTGACGCTGTAAGGTCTGACGTGTACCTTAACGCTGTAAGTATGACGTTTGTAACCTTGACGCCCCCCCCCCCCCCCCCCCCCCCTGTAGTCTGACGTTGTTAACCTTAACATGTAAGTATGACGTTGTAACCTTGACGCTGTTAGTCTGTGTTGTATCCTGACGCTGTAAGTCTATGACGGTTGTCAACCTTAACATTGTAAGTCTGGACGTGTAACCTTAACGCTGTATGTCTGACGTGTGTAACCTTGACGCTGTATGTCTGACGTTGCAAACTTGAGCTGTAAGTTCTGACGTGGTAACCTTAACGCTGTAAGTCTGACGTTGTTGAACCTTAACGCTGTAGTCCTGACGTTGTAACCTTGAGCTGTTAAGTTGACGTATGTAACCTAACGGCTGGTAAGTCTGACGTTGTAACCTTAACGCTGTATGTCGGTCGGTTGTAACCTTGGACGCTGTAAGGTTCTGACGTTGTACCTTAACGCTCTGTAGTCGGACGTTGTAACCTTACGCTGCAAGATTACGTTGTATGTCTGACTTGTGAAAAGAGAAAATAAGAAAAAACATTCAAGGATTTCCTCTTCATAGTTTCACTCGGGGATACCCTGGAATAATAATATTAAATAAATAAATAATAATAATATAATAATAATAATAATTAATAATTATAATAATAATAATAAATAATAAATAACCTAATAATATAATAATAATAATAATTATTTATTATTACTATCAATTCTATATTATTTTTATCATTATTTTAATATTATTATTACTGCTATTTATTAATAATTTTTATTATTATTAAATGCATAACAATGTAAGGTTTTTAAGATTTCTGTATAAACAAACAGATAACATTATTATTATTACAATCATGGGGGATAGCGCTAAACCGGAGTATTATACAGCGCTGGGGGGGATGTGGGAGGCATTTCAGGATTATTTTGGGGAACTGGAGCACAGATCCAATTCCCAAATCAAGAGCCCTCACCAACTCACAGGAACCTTCCTTGAGGGGCAAACAGATAACAGCTTACAGGTAAAAAGTTATAAGGAAATTTCGAAGTCCCCGCGGGCCTATACGACCACCTGAGCCTGACCACGTCAGAGGTGGGGAGTCCAAGCCTGCTAGACGATCTCAGCGGGCCGCCGTGCCACACTGAGAGATCCAACACTACACAACAGCCAACCTCTCCTTTCACTTATCTTGCTGTGTAAACAATCCTTGACCAACAATGTCGGGAGGCCCAGGGTGACGATGGAGATTGACATTACGGAGGGAATATTGACCTTCCTAGTTGATTTGAAGGCTTCTTCTAAGTCAGGGTAGGTAGAATGGTGTTGGTTTAATTAGCTTCCGTCATCAGGTATGTCTCTTTGGTTTGGAGTGTGGAAAATGTTATGCAGAAGGGACGTGAGGAGATTTGTGACACGTCATATGCATTTTTTTATTTTTTTCCTATTATTTTTCTTTGTATTTTTATTTTATTGTTTACTTAGGGCAGCTTTGATTTTGTGAAAGATTTGTAGAAAAGATTGTGTGAGAGTTGACACATCAATGTATTTCCCTCAGTACTTGGTGCCCTCAAGTGGCCTAGTGGGTGATATGTGCTCTATGCGTCACACACGGACGGGCCCGGGTTCGATTCCCGGCTGGGGGAAGCATTTCGGACGGGTTTTTTCTTACACTGTTGTTTATGTTCACCTTGTAGCTGATAGGTTACCTGGGTGTTAGTCAACTGGTGTGGGGTCGCATCCTGGGGGACAAGGATTGAGGACCCCAGTGGAAATAGTTAGTCACCTCGATTGATGCACCGATTTTCTTGGTTATCCTGGGTGGCTAATCCTCCGGGGTTAAAAATCCGAAGAAATTCTCTCTTTATCTTGCCCTAAGTGGGTTTATGCTCTTCTTTTTTATTATAATAATTCCTGTTTTCTCTCCTAGCATTTATTGTATTGTTTGTTTATGCCAGCAATATGCAAAGATAAGCTAATAGCTAGTGTAGAGGCTGGTTTCACTTGGCCATTATTTTATTTTTTCATATGCAAAGCTAACCATTACTGTCAAAATTATAGTTATGCTTGTGCCAAAGGACTATTATTGTTGTTATTAACGACAATGCATTTTATATTGAATTAAATGCTGCATCAGGCCATCAGTGGTTAATTTGAGACATGTATTGCGCCTGGCCAGAACTTAACAAGAAAGTAGCAGATGCAGGCAAACACTCATTTCTGATTTCTACCCTACTCTGGTGTTAAGGTTAATTTTTTTATTGGGTTGTTTTAGTTAGTGATAACGTCTAGTTGACGTTGATTCCTGCAAAGTAAAAGTTTATTGTTGAACCATCCTTACATGTTGTAAGAGATAGTAAGGATCCATTTCTTCTAGCTAACCACTTTGTCACAGTGTTCGTCTCAGAGCTATACAATCTTGTTGACCTTGTTCACTATCCTTACCATGTTAGGTAGAGGATGAGTTTTTTTTTTTGGGGGCCACCTGACCAGTGGGTCGGTGCTATTTATACCGGGAGACCTCATCCACTTCACTGGATCAATCTGTTCCACCAGTTGTGGAGAAAGACTTAGCTCCCACTGACTTCCCAGATGAAGTCAAGCGTTTGTTGACTTTGTTGAACAAACGTCGTAAAGCCATTGCCTTACCAGGTGAGAAGATGGGTATAACGAACTTATTGTCCCATCATATTCCACTTGAACCTGGTACTAGACCTATCTACATACCTGCGTACAGAATGCCTCATTCACAAGTTGCTGTCGCAGAAGAATTGATCAATCAAATGCTTGATGATGGAGTTATTGCACCTAGCAATTCACCTTGGAATGCACCCTTGATCCTAGTACCTAAGAAGGATGGTACTTGGCGCCCAGTAATTGACTTTAGGAAGTTAAACGCGAAAACTATTCCAGATCGCTTTCCACTCCCTGTACTGGGTGATCTTTTACGTAACATCGGAGATAACAAAGTCTTTTCAACCCTGGATTTGTTACAAGGGTTTTGGCAAGTCCCTCTTCACGAGGACAGCCAAGAGCTAACTGCATTCTCCACTCCTACAGGTCATTATCACTTCCTCCGTATGGCGTTTGGATTACGATCCTCCCCTATCACGTTCTCAAGGCTCATGACTAATATCTTTAGAGGTCTCATAGGTAATGCACTTATGGTGTACTTAGATGACGTAATCGTCATGTCTAAAGACGTGGATACACACTTGAAAAGACTTGATGTAGTACTTGGTAAGCTTGAAGAAGCCAATTTAAAGATCAAACTGTCTAAATGTCAATTTTTCAGATCAGAAATTAAGTTTCTTGGTCACGTAGTCACTCCTAGAGGGGTTACAACTGACCAAAGTAAAGTAACTGCAGTACTAAATTTTCCAACTCCAAAACTGCTGATGCTGTAAGATCCTTTGTGGGCTTAGCAGGTTTTTATAGATCTTTTATTGCCAATTTTTCTTCCATAGCTGCTCCTCTAACTGAGTTGCTTAAGAAAGATGCTCCTTTTGTTTGGACCTCCCGTCAAGAAAGAGCATTCCAAACTCTAAAGGAAAAGCTAACATCTGCTCCAATTTTGAAATTTCCAGATTTTTCTAAGCCCTTCTATCTGACAACTGATGCTAGTTCAATTGGCATAGGCGCCATACTAGCTCAGAAGACCGATGGCAAGTACAACGCAGTTGCATTTGCTAGCCGAGTCCTTACAAAGGCTGAACGTAATTATACAGTAACTGAGCAAGAAGCTTTAGCAATAGTATGGTCTTTTAAAGCACTTCCGAGACATTATTTATCAGTACTCTGTTCATGTCTTGACAGACCATGCTCCACTGATACCTTTATTCCAGAACAAACAACCTACTGGAAGGTTAGCCAGATGGACCTTGACTATCCAAGAGTTCAATCCCACCTTTGAACACTTACCTGGCAAGTCAAATGTAGTCGCCGATGCCTTATCGCGACATGTTAGTATAGTAACTGCAGACCCTCCATTTAGTGCTGAGGATGTAAAGAATGCTCAACAAACAGATCCCATGTGGTCTGGTGTGATTCAATTCCTGCTCCAGGAAGATCTTATTCTTACTGTGAAGCCACCAGCACCCATCAGTGACTTTGTCATGAACCAAGAATTACTGTATCGAACAGCCGAGTTGAGTACTCCTAGCAGAAGAGTATACCAGTTAGTAAGTAATTCCACAGTCACTAGTGAATGTAGCTTTACAGCTAGTTCACGATGTACCAGGTGTTGCACACCCTGGTATGGATCGTTCAGTAAAACAAGCCAGATTGAAATACTTTTGGCCTCGTATGGCAACTGATATTTCTGAGTATGTTAAGAAATGTAGTGTCTGCATGCAACATAAAGGTAATGCTAATGGCCCTAATCCAATCCAAGTGTATCCAACCACTAGCGAACCTTGGGAAAGAGTTGCGCTAGATCTGTTAACTAATTTCCAATGTTCCCTCCAAGGCAACAAACATCTGTGTGTTATGGTAGACCATTTCATCAGATATTGTGAGTTAGTTCCTATTGCAGATAAGACTGCCGAGACAGTAGCTAAAGCATTTAAAGAACGCATTATCTGCAGGCATACCACCCCTAAGTCCCTAGTAACAGATAATGGAGGTGAATTCTGTAATGAGATTCTTGAAAATTTGTGTACCTTGTACAAGATCTCTAAATCCACCATTGTTCCTCATCATCCTGCCAGCAATGGGTTAGTGGAACGAACCAATAAGAAAGTACTTGATGTCTTGAGAGCCACTATCAATCCCAACAGTGAAACTTGGGATGAAGTCATACCTGATGTGCAGTGTGCTATAAATTCTGCTTACAATGTTTCTATAGGTGACACTCCACATTATGCATTGTACGGTGTAGATAAACGTTTGCCTTATGAGTTGTTATATTCTAATCCAAAACCAAATTACAACCCTGATGATTTCATAGCAACTCGTACCAGCTTAGCTCAAAGTGTTTTTAGAAGAATCCGTGAAACACTTCATAAATCAACAGCAGAATTTACAAGAGTCGCAAACACTCGAGCAAAGCCATCCAAAATCAAAGTAGGTTCAAGAGTTATGCTGACTAACTTTAACAAAATGTCTGCAATTCCAAAGCTTGATCAAAAGTTTGTTGGTCCTTATCGAGTAGTTGAACATATCACTGGTAATAAGTATAAGGTTAGAGAAATTAGTACTGGTCAGTATAAAGAATCGCATTTAGATCATATGAAGTTAGTATGTGATGATAATGATGTTCCAACCCAGACTAATGTGACAGACTCTGACAATCCTCCTGATCCTGTACTCTCTTCCTCTGATAGAGTTCCCTTAGGTTACATTACCTAACATTTCCATGCCATAACTCAAACCCCTAAACTAAACATTTACCCAAAAATAATATACTATGCACCACCACATGTAAATAGATTTGGTATAGATTGTCAATTACTTTCTTGAATTATGATATACAGCCGTTAGGACAGTCTTTGAAAAGATTAGAGCTTCAGTTCTTACATTATTAATTGGATTGCCAAATTTTTGGTGATTTAAAGAAGTTTCTAGAGCATTTCTATTAATAACACTTGCAATCATAAAATGATTTGAAGGATGTCTCATTTGGCTGTCAACCAAAAGGCCTGGTCTAGGACCAGGCTGCAGTGGACAGTGATTCCCAGACTCTGGTGGCCTGGTTTCTAAAGCTCTTGCATCACACAGCAAGGGCCTGGGTTTGATTCCCAGCCAGGGTAGAAACACTAGGTGTCTTTCTTTACATCTGTTGTCTATGTTCACCCATCAGTAAAATAGGTACCTGGGTGCTAGTTGACTGGTGCGGGTCGCATCCTGAGACACTGACCTAATTTGCCCGAAATGCTCAGCATAACAAGGGTCTTTCTATATAGTAGTATGTCATCAATGTAAGCTAGGCCTGTATACCATGTACATGTAGTAAATAAAGATGATATTATTATTATTATTATTTTTTTATTATTATTTTTTTTTATTAACACACTGGCCGATTCCCACCAAGGCAGGGTGGCCCAAAAAAGAAAAACTTTCACCATCATTCACTCCATCACTGTCTTGCCAGAAGGGTGCTTTACACTACAGTTTTTAAACTGCAACATTAACACCCCTCCTTCAGAGTGCAGGCACTGTACTTCCCATCTCCAGGACTCAAGTCCGGCCTGCCGGTTTCCCTGAATCCCTTCATAAATGTTACTTTGCTCACACTCCAACAGCACGTCAAGTATTAAAACTATTTGTCTCCATTCACTCCTATCAAACATGCTCACGCATGCCTGCTGGAAGTCCAAGCCCCTCGCACACAAAACCTCCTTTACCCCCCTCCCTCCAACCTTTCCTAGGCCAACCCCTACCCGCCTTCCTTCCACTACAGACTGATACACTCTTGAAGTCATTCTGTTTCGCTCCATTCTCTCTACATGTCCAAACCACCTCAACAACCCTTCCTCAGCCCTCTGGACAACAGTTTTGGTAATCTCGCACCTCCTCCTAACTTCCAAACTACGAATTCTCTGCATTATATTCACACCACACATTGCCCTCAGACATGACATCTCCACTGCCTCCAGCCTTCTCCTCGCTGCAACATTCATCACCCATGCTTCACACCCATATAAGATCGTTGGTAAAACTATACTCTCATGCATTCCCCTCTTTGCCTCCAAGGACAAAGTTCTTTGTCTCCACAAACTCCTAAGTGCACCGCTCACCCTTTTCCCCTCATCAATTCTGTGATTCACCTCATCTTTCGTAGACCCATCCGCTGACACTTCCACTCCCAAATATCTGAATACATTCACCTCCTCCATACTCTCTCCCTCCAATCTGATATCCAATCTTTCATCACCTAATCTTTTTGTTATCCTCATAACCTTACTCTTTTCTGTATTCACTTATAATTTTCTTCTTTTGCATACCCTACCAAATTCATCCACCAACCTCTGCAACTTCTCTTCAGAATCTCCCAAGAGCACAGTGTCATCAGCAAAGAGCAACTGTGACAACTTCCACTTTACGTGTGATTCTTTATCTTTTAACTCCACGCCTCTTGCCAAGACCCTCGCATTTACTTCTCTTACAACCCCATCTATAAATATATTAAACAACCACGGTGACATCACACATCCTTGTCTAAGGCCTACTTTTACTGGGAAATAATCTCTCTCTTTCCTACATACTCTAACGTGAGCCTCACTATCCTCGTATAAAACTTCACTGCTTTCAGTAACCTCCCCCCTACACCATACACCTGCAACATTTGCCACATTGCCTCCCCCTATCCACCCTGTCACACGCCTTTTCCAAATCCATAAATGCCACAAAAACCTCTTTAGCCTTATCTAAATACTGTTCACTTACATGTTTCACTGTAAACACCTGGTCCACACACCCCCTACCTTTCCTAAAGCCTCCTTGGTCATCTGCTATCCTATAATCAGCTATAGGTAACAGGCATGTAGAGTACTGCACTTCATCTGACCACTATCATTTTGTTGGGATCTTTGTCATTTACTAACTTTATATTTTCTATGCATCTCCATTTCAATATATCAAGACCATCTCAGTACTTTTCAGGAGTTTTAATTTATTATTCTATTTACTCTCTGGTATTGGAAGTATGGCTGTTCATCTAGATTACTGGTACGGTGCTAATCATGGTGTTTGTGCATACAGTTCATGGACTGTCCAGTCTGGTGAAGAGTGAGGTAAGGACAGGGCTATGCTATTTGTCCTCAATTCAGTCTTCACCTGATTATCTGGTCAGATAAAGGTGTAGTTTATATGTTTTCTGTGTAACCTGATAGCTTCCTTCAAGCAAAATGTTATTATAATAAAGGTTTATAATGTTTTGTTTGGCTTTTTTCATCCAGGCCTTGGCTCACAGCCAAAATGTTAAACATGATTTCCATACCATGATTTACTTTGATAGCTGATTAGGGAAACTACATTCACTTTAAACCTAATAAGCTTATAACTGTGAGGTAGAGAAAGCTGATAAAACATTGTGATAGGTAATTTCTTACCAGTGTACCTATACCTTGCTACCCAGCATAACAAAAGACTTCATTCCTTTAAAATTTTCTTTGTAACCTTGTATTGTATATTGGACATCAAAATTGTGTATAGGAAAGTAGGCAGTAACAAACATTTAAATACAGAGTATGTACTTGCACATTCAGCACTGTATCATTAATGCAGGTGTATACATATATGTACTGTACTATATACTGTGCAGATGTATACATATACTGTACTATATAACATGAGTTATTCTACAAAAATTACAGTGGTAGTAGGTAGTTGTATGATCTCTTTATTTGTATAAATTCATATAAATAACATACAGTATTTAATATTAATTTTCAATGACCTATAATAATTGTTAATGTGAACACATGCTACCTGACTCACTTTACTGTTTGTGGTGTTGGCTACAGTGAAGGTGCAGGTGTGTCAGAGGAGCAGGTGTCCAACCCATTTGATATGGAGGATAGCTTCAAACAGCAGAGTGGTTTTAAGAAGTGAGTCAACAGTTGTGAGAAGAACCTTCATCGAACTAAAGAGTTAATTTATTTTTTCTGCAGAAATTGCACTTTTTTCATTATTTTCTGGTGATGTGTGAACATTGTGTCTTTTGTTGAAGCTTGCTGCACTGGATTACAGTATTGGGTAATGGAGAGCCTTTTGTAAATTTCATTAATATTCTTATCCTGTACATGTTTTATTTAGTAAATAAGCTTGTTAATTGCATTAGGTGTAGTTTGTTCAAATAATACCATCAATAGTTTCTTTGTTAGCCTCAGTGAGTTCATAAGATGATTATGTTCCTATGATGCCTTAGTAATATTAAAAGGCAGATAATAAAGAAATGAATGTTAAAGATTAATAGTAAAGCAAAGAGGGTTAACATCTGTATTTTATGAAACATCACTAGCCTGGCCCATAGCCGGGCTCTGAGAGTAGTGAAACTTTCGAAACTCTTCAAAAGTAAAGGTATATCACCCACTGACAAACTTTCTTATAAATAGTGTATAGCTTTCTCGTTCAAGATTTCTTATTATTATGTTTATGGGGAAGTGGTAAATTTGTAAGGGGTCATGTAGTGCTTGGGAATGGAATGTAATCAAGTAGTATAAGCTGAGGAAGGAGACAGTAACTCCAGTTCTTTGGATCAAAAGCACTGCAACATCATGATCACCTCCTTTAACCCTTAAACTGTCCAAACATAGATCTACGTTTGTTCACGTAGTGCTCTGAACGTAGATCTACTATTTTTTTACATACGAAAACATGTAAAATCAATTTAAGGGTTAAAAGTTATTCAAGGTGACATCAACTTAGTATGTATACTGAGATGATGTAACTATCTTTTTGATGAGTTGATGTATTCTGTGACCAAGGGAAACATCATAAAACACATCTTTCTTCTTTTTTTTTATGCTTTTCACTGTATTTTGTCAGAAATCTCACCAAGGATATCTGGATGCAGTTAGAATTGAGTCTGTTACCAGTCTGTGTATATAATAAACTCTAAATTTTTGAAGTTACTAAGCAAATCACTTCCAGGCATTAAATCTTTTAGTGAAGGTGACTCCTACTTATGTCTGACCTTATCTCTTAAATTTGAAATGCTAATACTGTAATTTGCTATTGCAGTAATATACAGTAATAATGCTGTGTTCTACTTTTTGTCAATTCCTAATTTTTCAAATGACAAAGTATTGTACTGTACTGAGTATTCTGGAATATTGAACATTAATAATTTAGAATGCATATGCTGTGAATGTGATTTGCATAGAGTACACCCAATATCTGTTTTATTTGTATAAAAAATCCCGAGTTTAGTCTAACAAACACATAAGGAGTAGCATACATGGGAATCATGGAAATCATATACTACGTACTTTACTGTACATTAAAGGCAAAATACAGATAATGTTACTAAGTGTTGCTTTGCCCTTGATTCCCTCAGGAAATAGGAATCTAGAGTGTATGATAAGCACACATACATGGATTATAATTTCTTGAAAATGTCACGCATGCGTAAGTCGACTTCCTCTACTTTTTTGCCCAAAAGCTTTCTTAAAATCTTGATCTGTACTCAAGATATGTGTACAAATAATGTACTTGCGTATGTACAATAGTACGTATATACATTATAAGTGCTAGCATGAGTGAGTTAGAGGACTTATAAATAAAATTTTTACTATGCTATGCATAAAGATATGACCTGCAAACCCCCTTCACAGCATGAAACTACATTCTAGTTCTTGGCCTCATAGTGACTCACACATGTTAGTAATGTGCAGATGGGCCAGTGTGTTGGCTGTACAGGTGTGGTAGTGAAGGTTACACATGTGGCAGTGTCAGCTTTTGGTGGTGGGAGTCTGCCAGGAGTGCTGGTCTTCCTTTCTCCTGTCTTGATGATGGGTGCAGTGTTTTCATAGTTAAGCAAGACAGTGACCAGAGCACTCAACAAGCATACATGTACTGTGATTATCTTTTAGTAATTACCTACCTATAGCCACAAGATTGGAGCTAAGCCAGTGGTGTCATGTCTTCAACAATTAGTCGATCTTTAAAGATTTTAAGCTTTCATTAGTTGTAGCACTTACTACTTCCTCTTGCAAATTATTTCATTGATCTACCACTAATGCACTATCAGTGTGCATGCATTGATAATGCATTATCAGTTTTTTAAGTGGCATGTAAGTGACATAGTGAAATATTAAAAAGCTGAAATATTTAATGATCTTGTACACTAGTAGTAAAATACAGTTATTGACTATTGTATAGTATTCTGTATAGTAGTAACATTCATGTATAGCATATTATGTATAAAATAATCATTCATTGCAGAGTATGAGTAGACTAAAGCCTAGATTTTTCTTAAAGACTGAGGCTTACCTTAACATACATTAATGCAGTATTGCTTTACATATAGGTTTTAAAGACTCCTAGTCATCAGATGGCTATTGGTATTTCAGTAAGATTCCAGTCAGTTCTTTGCACACTTTTATCTGATTTATCATTCAACTACGTATGTTGTACTGTTATTTGTATGTAGTATACTGCCCCCTGCAAAGTTCTTCAGCTATATCTTAGTTATATAGAGTTTTTCCTTGTCTGTCTCATTGGAATGTGACAGGATAGCCTGTCTCTCAAAGCAAATGTTATGTTGTCCCATGTATGGTACTGTCTCTCATTAGTGATCAGCATAGTGGCTCCTACAGTGGGGGCGACTATCCTAATAGTTAAGATACACCAGGCAGTACAATCCTCCTCTTAGGATATCTTAACAGATTTCAACTTGATTTAAAAAAAAAATAGGTTTCTTTATTGGTGGCAAATAATATCTAGGAGTTATAACAGTTGAATTTTATGGACTGCACTGTGCAGCCTACTGCATATTATATTCATGATTATCATTGGGGAATATAAGTTTATGACACTTGCAGACCACTTTGTATTATTTTGTATACCACAGTATTGCATGCTCTATGTGTACGAAATTTGTTATTCATTATCTTCAGATTCCTAATGCAACTGCCTGTGCAACTGCAGCTGGCGTCGCCAGCAGCCAGGGAGTGGATTACACGCAGTCGAGAAAATGTTCGGCCCTGGCTGGTCTTTGTCAACACACAAAAATTCAAGGTGAGGGGAAACTATTAGGGTACTAGAATGTATGGTTAAATCATACAATACCCTTTCACAGCTCTCTAAAAACTGCTGTTTTTTTTTTTTTTTTTTTTTTATGGCACATTCACTATTCAGTATTTCATGCAAAAATTAAATTTTAAAAAAAAATTTAGGAATAGCATTTATGCAAAAATTTATTTAAATATGAATGGCAGACATTTACTTCAGTTGCTGGAAATCTACCCTGATTTACACTTACCTTGTCATAGAACTCAGTAGGTTTGTGACGCAGGATTTCCCATTCCTGAAGCCGTGCTGATTGTCATGTATGAGCCCAATCCTTTCTGTGTGGTCCACCACACTTTCCCTGATAATGTTCTTCATAACTTTGCATACTATACATGTCAGTGACACTGGTCTGTTTCAGTTTGTGTTAAGCAGAGCCTACCCAAAGGGGTAGGCTACCAATGGGATATACAGAATACTGTATTGTAATAGTTGGCTAATAGATGGAATGTCATTTAGCACAATAAGAGAACATTTTATCAACATATGTGATCTAATACCAGCAGGTATAAAAAAAAAATATTGCTGTAAGGAAGAGAAGTTTTTGAGAGGAAACTGGACCACTATCACCTATAAGTGCCTGATCAGCCAGGTTGTGACGGATTCATCACAACCTTGCTAATCAGATTTTATCAACAAACTGTGGGCTTACAGTCCACTAGCAGCATCGCTGTGGTTGATGAGGTAGTCAGCAAGAAATCCTGGCCTTAAATCAGGCTTCTTTAAAAACTACATTCATATTACATGCAGGAGGGTCCTACCTTATGGCATTTCTCTAATGCAGAGGTTTTCAGTTATATCCATTCTTCATTTATTCAGACTTCCTACAATGAATATGTTCACCACTCAATATAAACAAAGGACAAAAATATTTTAAGGTAAGTGATGTGTGTACTGTATATGCATTTTTTAGCTCTATTGCTCATTTAATATATGATAGTATTAACATAAGGGTTTTATATGCATTTGAAAGTGAAAAAAAGCTATAATTCACTTTACAGCAGTTTTTGCTTTACAGCTGTAGCCCAGAACCTAACCTGCTGTATAAGCAGGGACCTCCTGTAGTTTGTTTCTGCATGTAGTACACAACCACATATTTCTGTTATATTGACATACTGTGCATGACTCATTCTGCACTTGGGTGAACAAATTAAGAGGGAGCATTGCTTCCAAACATTATTCAGAATATTTGACATGCATATTAACCCTTTGACTGTCACAGGCCCCTTTCTGAAACTGTCATTCTGTCGATAAATTTTTGGGAAAATTTTTTTTTTTTTTGCTTATGAAATGATAGAGAATCATTTCCCGATGGTAATGACACCAAAAGTACGAAATATGGTCGAAAACTCACGGAATTATGCTCCCGCGAAGTTAGCTCTCGGCGACATATACGCATCGGTGATTTCGCCGACTTTGAGCCCTGTTTTTGGCCAATTCCGTTGTTCCAGTTGGCCAAACTCATAGCTGTTTCTTTAGAAATCCATTTTTTCTATTAGTTGAATACTAGAAACTGCCCATTTAGCAATTTGAACTACCCAATAAAGTGGTTAGAAATTGGCAATTTGGCCAATTTCATGCAAATTAAAAAAGATGCCAATTTCAAAATAGGATCCAGAATAAACAATGTACACATTCTTGGCACTAAAATAACATATCCTCTGTTCATTAGTCACGTCTCTAGGCCCCTCTTATATTACTATTGCTTTCTATTTTTATTTTTTATTCATACAAAAAAATACAAAATTTACTGTTATGCAGACTACTGCATTATTATAAAAATGGTATAAATAATATCAGTGCTCTAGTGAAAGAATATTAGACTCCCCAGTTGAAGTGTATTGGACATGTGGTGTGATTTGCTTACTCCTGAACACTGATAAAAATCGAACATTTCCACTACTTTGAGCTCAATTTCAAGGTCGTTTTCATCGTGAAAGTAATCAAAATCATCTTTAATTCTGTAATATGTTTTCCATTTTATCACCTGAGACCGTGAAAATGAGAATACAACGATAAATACTATTTGAAAATACACCTCAAATTCGGCGTTTTAATAAAAAAAATGGTCAGTTTTTTTCTCATTACACACTGCGTGCTGCAGGATTTTTTTTATGTGGTGCACACTGACCACACAGACCCATTCTCTCACATGTGGGCCTACCAGCTTTCTCCCGCTTGATTTGAAGCCGCTAGAATTTACGCATATAAATACGTCAGAAACAGTGGCGCGTAAGACGTATATATATGACCGAAATAGTCAAAGGGTTAATAATCCCATGCACTTAAAGTTGTGCTTGTTTCAGGTTCCACCAAATGCACAGCGATGGAGCAAAAGATTGGCCAAGAATGTTGACTACTTCCAGTCCAACTACATGTTTGTGTTCATTGGCCTCATCATATACTGCCTGTAAGATCGTAGTCTGTTCTTCTACAGTGTTTGTGAAATATAATTTCTGTTGCTGTTTCTTTTAGCCTCTCAGTGTTATATATGTATTGGTGTTAAGAGTCTGTGCACTTATTAAATATGTACCTCCTGGTAATTAACTATAGTTAAAGGAGTAAGCTGATACTCAAAATACATGTCTTTAACATCACACATGTAGGGGTCATACATCACATGGGGAATAGGAAGTACTCAAGTTTGATTCAAGGAAGAGTTTCTTGAATTCCTTTAATCAAGAGCCATTCACTGGCATCCAGGCATTCTCCCTTTGAAGGGTGCAGTTTTATTGCTTTTCTAGATAGATGTGCAGTATTGTATATAATTTTTTTTTTTTTTTTCAACAAGTCGGCCGTCTCCCACCGAGGTAGGGTGACCCAAAAAAAAGAAAGAAAATCCCCAAAAAGAAAATACTTTCATCATCATTCAACACTTTCACCACACTCACACATTATCACTGTTTTTGCAGAGGTGCTCAGAATACAACAGTTTAGAAGCATACACATATAAAGATACACAACATATCCCTCCAAACTGCCAATATCCCAGACCCCTCCTTTAAAGTGCAGGCATTGTACTTTCCATTTCCAGGACTCAAGTCCGACTATATGAAAATAACCGGTTTCCCTGAATCCCTTCACTAAATATTACCCTGCTCACACTCCAACAGAGCATCAGGTCCCAAGTACCATTTGTCTCCATTCACTCCTATCTAACATGCTCACGCACGCTTGCTGGAAGTCCAAGCCCCTTGTCCACAAAACCTCCTTTACCCCCTCTCTCCAACCCTTTCGAGGACGACCCCTACCCGGCCTTCCTTCCCCTATAGATTTATATGCTTTCCATGTCATTCTACTTTGATCCATTCTCTCTAAATGACCAAACCACCTCAACAACCCCTCTTCTGCCCTCTGACTAATACTTTTATTAACTCCACACCTTTTCCTAATTTCCACACTCCAAATTTTCTGCATAATATTTACACCACACATTGCCCTTAAACACTGCCTCCAGCTGTCTCCTCGCTGCTGCATTTACCACCCAAGCTTCACACCCATATAAGAGTGTTGGTACTACTATACTTTCATACATTCCCTTCTTTGCCTCCATAGATAACGTTTTTTGACTCCACATATACCTCAACGCACCACCTTTTTTCCCTCATCAATTCTATGATTAACCTCATCCTTCATAAATCCATCCGCCGACACGTCAACTCCCAAGTATCTGAAAACATTCATAAATCTGTCAGAATAGGTTTGGATAATGGTGCCTAAATGAACATTAGTGATATACAGTAGAACCCACATATCCACTGATTCGGTATTTGTGGTTTCAGTTCTCCACGGTTTATTGTGGCCCAAAAGTACCTCTTAATTTTGCACAATAATGGCCCAAAAGTAGAGAAGCTGGCAGTTCTTCAAAGCCTAAGAAAGCCTTGAAATGCTTCCCATCAGTGAAAAGTGATAATTCTCCACTTATTGTGCATATTTTATGTTAAACTTTATAATAGGTATGTATAGGACTTATAGGGTTTCCTACTATCCAATGTTTTGGTATCCATGGCAGGCCCTTGGAATGTATCCCCGTGGCTACAGGGGTCCTACTGTATCACAAATACTGAGCAGTACAGTAAACCCTCAGTTTATCAAGCTGATAGGGAGGAGCAGGTGCCTGATAATGATGGTTGTGGTGGATATAGGTGAGACACTGGTTACAGACAGTTCTGTAACCAGTGGACTTTCTGGTTTCTGAATCATTTGACCCGGCAGACCTTGTCTAAAGTCCGTTCAAGGAAGGTCTGTTAAATCAATTGTTTACTGCCATTTGTCTTCAGCCAAGCAAATACAGTTAAAACAAATGTACTTGCCTCTTTACAAGTGAAGACACCATAACACAGTGCATAGGCAGATTTAGAATTCCCATTTGTTTTCTCAAACTAAGCCAGTCTCTTGGATGCAATATTTTTATATGTTTTAATATGTTATTGTTGCTCATTTCAGGTAGTAAAGCCTGCTAATTCATTTTACATATAGTTTAAGCTGCCCACAATACTGTGTAATTAGGGGCTTTTCCATTAAAGGATTAAAAACTTATTATATCTTTGTAACACTTTTCTAGGTACTTCCTTGGAAAATTAAATATTCATTTACTTGTTGCTTCCTCCTGTTTCCTTTGTAGCAGTATACAGTGGACCCCCGGCTTACAATATTATTTCATTCCAGAAGTATGTTCAGGTGCCATTACTGAACGAATTTGTTCCCATAAGGAATATTGTGAATTAGATTAGTCCGTTTCAGACCCCCAAACATACACGTACAAATGCACTTACATAATTGGTCGCATTGGGAGCTGATCGTAAAGCGGGGGTTAACTGTACTATTTATATAACGGCCAATATAAATTTCCTTTCTAGGATAACCTCCCCATTGCTCCTGCTTGCTGTTGCTGCCTCACTGGGTGCTTGCTACATCCTCTCATTAAAGAATGCAGAAAAGAAGATCATTGTTGGAGGTCATGAGGTGTCACTTGCTCACCAGTACACAGCTGTAGGAGTCTTGTCTCTGCCTGTCTTCTACATAGCAGGAGCAGGTGCTGTTCTCTTTTGGGTTCTAGGTAAGTCTTTAATACCATATGCAGTATAGCATTAAGATGTAGCAAGTATATATATTATCATGATTAAAGAAGCATTGCCAAAAAAAGGAAAGTTCATGCTCAGCCAGGTTGTGAGCCAAGTAAACTTAAAGGCAACAGTCTTGTTGATCAAGCAGTCAAGATGGAAATCTGGTCATGGGCTGGGTTGGAGGGGGTAAGAGAACATTTGAAATACTGTCACAAGTATATTAATTAAAATACTAAAGTAATAATAATTGTTTAGTCTGAATTGGCCCTTTTACTCCACATTTGTCTTTACTACTGAACCCTATGCATCTTTATAGCTCCATTTATCTTTACTACTCAACCCTGTGCATTTTCACAACCCCATTCATCTTTACTCAGTCCTTTTCATCTTTTCTCAGCCCTGTTCATCTTTTCTTCACAGCCCCATTCTTCTGTCTTCTTTCAACAAACTGACCATATCCCACTGAAGCAGGGTGGCCCAAAAAGAAAAAAACAAAAGTTTCTCTCTTTAATTTTAGTAATGTACATAGGAGTTACTAGCCCCTTTCTCCCGGCATTTTAGTTGCCTCTTACGACACGCATGGCTTACAGAGGAAGAATTCTGCTCCACTTCCCCATGGAAACAGTCCCATTCATCTTTACTATTTAGTCCTGTGCATCTTTACTTCAAAATCCCATTCATCGTTACTACTCAATCTTGTGTATACAGTGGACCCCCGGTTAACGATATTTTTTCACTCCGTAAGTATGTTCAGGTGCCAGTACTGACCAAATTTATTCCCATAAGGAATATTGTGAAGTAGATTAGTCCATTTCAGACCCCCAAACATACACGTACAAACGCACTTACTTAAATACACTTACATAATTGGTCTCATTCGGAGGTAATCGTTATGCGGGGGTCCACTGTATTTTCAATGCCATATCATCACCTTTTTCTGTTCATCCCAGAACATCTTTACTCTAAATACCATTAATCATCACTGCTTAACATTGTTCCTTAGTCTCAAAACAAAATTAATTTTCACTAGTCAACCTTATAGAGTGGTACCTCAAGTTTCGAACAGCTCCCAACTCAAACAATTATGTAAGTGTATTTTTGTAAGTGCTTTTGTAAGTGTATTTTGGGGGGTCTGAAACAGACTACTTTGATTTACATTATTCCTTACGGGAACAAATTCATTCGGTATCGGCACTCGAACAGCATTCTGGAACAAATTAAGTTCATAACTCGAGGTACCACTGCAGATTTTTCTCAGTCCAATAAAGAGGCTGCTTTTATACTGGAGACAGTGGAAGAATGAGAGGTAATTTTAAGGTGTTCCATCCCTTATTCTTTAGATAGATGAAGGCTAAAGGATTGAGCACCTTCTTTCAGGCTAAGAGACTGAACACAAACTTCTCTTTGCTGCTTCTTCCACTGTCTCCATTGTGAAAAATCAACTCTTTATTGGGTTAAAAAAGTGTTGTACAGGTGAAATGTTTCATTAATAAAGCTACTAGGTATTGCACATTTGTCTTACTCATCATTAATCTTCTTTCTTTCAATAAACTGGCCGTATCCCACCGAAGCAGGGTGGCCCAACAAGAAAAACAAAAGTTGCTCTTTTTAACTTTAGTATTGTATACAGAAGGTGTTACTATCCCCTTGCTCCCGGCATTTTAGTCACCACTTATGACACACATGGTTTATGGAGGAAGAATTCTGTTCCACTTCCCCATGGATATAAGAGGAAATAAACAAGAACAAGAACAAGTAAGAAAATGGAAGAAAACCCAGACTGGTGTGTAGGGTATGTGTAGATCAAGTGTTTACATTGAAGCATGTGAACAGTATTTAGATAGACAGGGAAGTTTTCATTGCATTTATGGATTTAGAAAATGCATATGATAGAGTGGATAGGGGAGCAATGTGGCAGATGTTGCAAGTATATGGAATAGGTAGTAAGTTACTAAATGCTGTAAAGAGTTTTTATGAGGATAGTGAGGCTGAGGTTAGGGTGTGTAGAAGAGAGGGAGACTACTTCCCAGTAAAAGTAGGTCTTAGACAGGGATGTGTAATGTCACCATGGTGGTTTAATATAATTATAGATGGGGTTGTAAAAGAAGTAAATGCTAGGGTGTTGGGGAGAGGGGTGGGATTAAATTATGGGGATTCAAATACAAAATGGGAATTGACACAGTTACTTTTTGATGATGATACTGTGCTAATGGGAGATTCTAAAGAAAAGTTGCAAAGGTTAGTGGATGAGTTTGGGAGTGTGTAAAGGTAGAAAGTTGAAAGTGAACATAGAAAAGAGGGTATCAAATGATTTAGATAAAGAAAAATTCAATTCAAGTTTATTCTCTATAATGGTTACAATGTGGGGTTTACAGGTTTTGGGTATTTTGTGGTTAAAAGGTTCTAAAATACTAATTACAGAGGGGGCCACTAGGACACCTAGCATGGCTAGGCATTTCAAGCAGACTTAGATTAATTCTTAACACTAAATCCTTACAGATTATAGTATTAAGGCTAAGTGACTACATCATAATTTGTGAGTTTAGCAATGTGAATGCTTTTGTTTTGGCACAATACAAGGTGTCTATATTTGAGTATCATAGGCAAACTTATGACTAGTTAGGATTTATTATTTTAAGATTAAGATTAGTATTTCTGGGTTTATAGTCAGTGGGTGGTGAGTGTAATTTTGAACCACCAGGTGGTTATCATGTAGTTAGTTGTCGGGGTGGATCAGGGAGATAAGATGTTTTCTAACTGTAGTTTTGAAAGTGACGAATGTGTCTGCAGTTCCGGATTTTAGGTCCTTTGAAATACATTGAATTTTTGTAAAAGTTTAGTCGAATACGGGGAATGTCATAGAGATGTTTGTGTCTGGTGTTATGCCTGTGGATCCTGTCACAACTATCAAGAAAGCATTTTAGGTCAAGGTTAATATTGGAATTTAAGGTCCTGTAGATATAGACTGCACAGTAGTAAGTGTGGATGTTCTGAACAGGGAGTAAGTTTAAATCTGTGAAGAGTGGGGGGGGGGTGTTGCCAGGGATGGGATTTAGTGATTATTCTTACTGCAGCTTTTTGTTGGGTTATTATTGGCTTTAGGTGTGTTGCTGCAGTTGAACCCCAAGCACAGATAGCATAGGTGAGGTATGGATATATAAGTGAATGGTATAGTGTGAGAAGGGCAGTTTGCGGTACATAGTTTTGTATCTTGGAGAGGATCCCCACCGTTTTGGATACTTTTTTTGTTATGTGTTGGATATGGGTGCTGAAATTTAGGTTGTTGTCGAGGTATAGGCCAAGGAATTTGCCCTCATTATGTCTGGCAATTAGAGTGTTGTCGATCTTAGTGTTAAGTTGCGCAACACCTGCTCTGCTACCAAACATAATACTGTATAGTAGGTTTTGCCAGTGTTAAGTGTAAGTTTATTGGCTGTCATCCAAGTCGATATTTTGAGCAGCTCCTCGTTAACAATGGTGTTGAGGGTGGCAAGATTAGGGTGGGAGATGACATAAGTCGTGTCGTCAGCAAAGAGAATGGGTTTCAGGTGTTGAGATATGTTTGGAAGATCATTGATGTAAATGAGGAAGAGTAGGGGTCCAAGGACACTTCCCTGCGGAACTCCAGTATCAAGTGGCCGTATTGATGAGGCTGTGTCTTTAATGGTGACATACTGACACCTATTAGAAAGGTAGGATTTAAAATATGCAAGCGCATGGCCTCTTATACCATAGTGGTCAAGTTTGTGGAGTAGGATGCCGTGGTCTACTATGTCAAACGCTTTTCTTAGGTCAATAAAAATTCCTAGCGGATATTCCTTATTGGATATCAAATTGGATAGTAGTATGGAAGAAGTGAATGTTTTCAGATATTTGGGAGTTGACGTGTCAGCGGATGGATTTATGAAGGATGAGGTTAACCACAGAATTGATGAAGGAAAAAAGGTGAGTTGTGCATTGAGGTATATGTGGAGACAAAAAATATTATCTATGGAGGCAAAGAAGGGAATGTATGAAAGTATAGTGGTACTAACACTCTTATATGGGTGTGAAGCTTGGGTTGTAAATGCTGCAGCGAAGAGGTGGTGGAGATGTCTTGTCTAAGGGCAGAGTGTGGTGTAAATATTATGCAGAAAATTCGGAGTGTGGAAATTAGGATTTGTGGAGTTAATAAAAGTATTAGTCAGAGGGCTGAAGAGGGGTTGTTGAGGTGGTTTGGTCATGTAGAGAGAATGGATCAAAGTAGAATGACACGGAGAGCGTATAAATCTGTAGGGGAAGGAAGGCGGTGTAGGGGTCGTCCTCAAAAAGGTTGGAGGGAGGGGGTAAAGGAGGGTTTGTGGGTGAGGGGCTTGGACTTCCAGCAAGCATGCGTGAGCGTGTTAGATAGGAATGAATGGAGACAGATGGTATTTGGGACCTGACAAGCTGTTAGTGTGAGTAGGGTAGTATTTAGTGAAGGGTCTCAGGGAAACCGGTTATTTTTATATAGCCAGACTTGAGTACTGGAAATGGGAAGTACAATGCCTGCATTTTAAAGGAGGGGTTTGGGATATTGGTAGTTTGGAGGGATATGTTGTATATCTTTATACGTATATGCTTCTAAACTGTTGTGTTCTGGGCACCTCTGCAAAACAGTGATTATGTATGAGTGAGGTGAAGGTGTTGAATGATGATGAAAGTATTTTCTTTTTGGGGATTTCATTTTTTTTGGGTCACCCTTCCTCGGTGGGAGATGACCAACTTGGTAAAAAAAAAAAAAACATGCATGTGTAGTGTGACCTAAATGTAAGAAGTAGTAGCAAGACATACCTGAAATCTTGCATGTTATTGAGACAGAAAAAAGACACCAACAATCCTACCCTCATGTAAAACACTTACAGGCTTCGTTTTGTACTCACTTGGCAGGACGGTAGTACCTCCCTGGGCGGTTGCTGTCTACCAACCTACTACCTAGGATATCATTAATATAGTGATCATTTCTATATTACTATTCCAATCATTCATAGTTTCTTACAAACCAAATGCAATAGTATA